CTAGTGATTTTAAATGGCTTCTTCCAACTGTACGGAATCCAATATGCATTTATTCTCAGCTATGCAGAGTTTTAGGGGCAAGGACCTAGTCTTAGTGAGGTAGGTATCCCCACGGTACTCAGCTGTAAAGTGGAGTTCCTGCAGGCAGGAAGTCAGTCAGTACAGACAAAGCAGCTGGAATGATGCCTGGCATTGAGACGCAGACCAAGATGGTGGGAAGAGAGAGACTGAGAGGTTCTCCTGCCTGATGGCGCTCCACTGTCCACGTTCTTAGCTTGCAGTGGATTCCTTGAGCTGGCCTATATCCTTACAGTAGATACTCCTTTGCTTGTACCAGTTAAGGGCTTTTCTGCTCCCTAGATCCATACGGTCACCAGCAGAGTCCCTAAGCCAGGCTGCGAAGAGAAAACCCATTCCCTTCTCTCTGTCTCCCAGGGCCTATCTGTCCATCTGCCTCTGAGCAGCACCCTCTTGTTCATTTCACACGGGGCCTTTAATGACTGATTTGTGATCTTTCAGGTCTAGCCCCATAGCCCTTTGACAACAATTGTAATTCCCAATTCCAAATTGCCAGGAAAGGCCTTGGTTGGCCCAGTTTATCTTTTTGAGCCAGGCTGCACAGCCAAGGGATGGGTTATCCTTGAACTATGCACCATCCACGGCCCACTCCGTCCTGTTCAAGGGCCTTCATGCTGGCAGATTCCCTGACATGGAGGACATGAGCAGGTACCTCAAAACCTGCTGCTTCAGTTCTTGGGGAGAGGAGTGGAGGAAGACCTGAGAGGACTTGGGCACTCAGGTGCCACCATTTTGTCATGTTGTCCCAGTCCAGAAATCCCAGGGCCCATCCCCAGATAGCCTCTCCCCTTTCTATCAGCTACTTATTGCTGCATAACAGTCCACCCCAAAAGTTAGTGAATTAAAACAATAGGCAATTATTTAGCTCATGAGTCTGCAGGTCAGCTGTGCAGCTCTTCTGAGCTGGGACAAACTTGGCTGACCTCTGCCAGGCTCGCTCAGCATCTGTGGTCAGCTGGCAGGCCAGCTGGGGGCTCCTGGTCTAGGATGGCCTCACTCATATCTTGTCCATAGGCTGGATATTAGCCATGGTGATGGGGACAGCTTGGCCAC